TGGATTATGTGAACAAACATTTCAAGATTGCATGAATAATTAATTCAACACACATGAATTATCCAGAATTGTATCATTGCCATCCAAGACCGAATTAAAAAATATTTGTGATAGAATTGAGAAGGTAAGAAATAATATTTCAAATTATATTTAAATATAAAATGTTATCCCATTACTTTGGAAGATCAAATTCATAGATCGATCTATGAAATTACTCTTTCATTGTAATTTTTTTTTCTAAACACAAACGTAGGTTCAAAGGCAATTATCATAAAAAAATGTTAAAATAAATTTGTAAAAAGGAAGGGAAGAAACAAAACTCAAGTTAACTCCAAATCAAATGTTGAAAAATGTAATTATGAAGAAAGTAAAAAGATCCCTAATAGTCTGTAAACTAAACCTAAGCTGATAAGTTTAGAAAATAAAATGGACCATAAAATCTAATTAGGTTCAAATCCTAATTGTAAACTATTAATCAATACTTAACTCTCATAATTTTCATAAATTGCATCAATGTTAATAAACTAACTTTAAATATGATAAATGAGATGTCAAATCAAAACTCTTTAATTTAATTTTTCAATGCAACAAGAATCATTAAAAAGATTCACATGCATCAAAATTTATGATAAAAATAGTGAACAAAAGTCAAAAATATTAAAATACACAAAATATATAAAGGCTCAAATAGTCTCAAATAAATAAAACAAACTTAAAATAATGAAACAATCATAAAAATAGTGTCAAAATATATATTGAAAATGCTAAAGTGTCGTTATAATATAATTCAATATTTTAAGAGTAACATTCATTAAAAGAAATGTGTAAAAGTTGCGTCATTTTATAAGTCTTAATATGAATTTTAATTAATACTAAAGTATTAAAAAAATATATTAGTAACATTAAAATATATTATTAATCTATATTTCTATATAGTTTTTAATTATAATTTTTTATTTTTTTAAATTTTGTTCTTTAACAATGCTAAATATTTCTGAAAAAGATTTATGATAAAAAAATATTACTAATTAACATTTATCTTTTAAAAAAATTCAAGAAAATAGTTTTTACAGAATAAAACTTAGATCAGTTTCCTTACTTCCTCACCATCTAGTTTTCAAATTGAACAGCAAAATATGACTTTTTTTTCAGCATTAAATAAATAAAAAATGTTTTAAAATTAAAAAATGCTTTATAGTTGTTATTTGATTTGAAAATTTGTTGATAAAGAACTTGATTTATGTTTTATCATTTCTCAAAACCCCAACGAACATTTTTCAACTAAAATAAAAACAAGAATAAGGAAAAAACAAGAAATGCAAACAGGGTCTAATTTAAACTGTAATTTTCTGAAAAATTGCCCGTAGTTTCAGGCTCAAATAAGTTGTAAAGTGTAACCTTTCCACGAAGAACATGCGGCCAAGAACCATTTTACCTTTTCTATTTTTTTTAAGTTGAAAAAGAAAAAAGTGATCATGATTGGTTGACATGGGCATCGAGGAATCCTAAGATTTTCCTCAAGTGGGTCATACGCATAGCTAATAGCCTAATATCGTATTTCCGAAGGCTTTTAGATATATTGACAATGTCAAAGGATGCAAACATTCCCAAACCAGACGCCAAATTCGATTTCCAAACTTACACTCTTTCTTTTCACATTCACATAATTTCTTAAGGAAAACTTTGGAAAGTGAAATCAAATACTTTTAAGACATATTATAATTTTTTAATTCTTAATAATAATTATATATGCTTTTGAAAAAAAGTTAATGAAATACTTCGATAATCTACAAGAAGATTAACGATATTTCATCTCTATTTTGCCGATTCTTGTTTCCCTTAAAAAGTGACGCTGGATTCAGTTATTCATGCTGTTTTGGTAGAATGTCTTTCATGTACTCTATAAATATTTTTAAACCTTATAACTCTATTATAATAGAAATCACCGTTATTTATGCGTGATCCACCAATTTAATGTTTGTATATTTATTCTCTTTAACATAACATTATCATGTTAGTTATTAAGAATAGATGGTCCAAAAAACCGAAATGCAGTTGAAATGAAAGTGCATGTTGGAGAGAAACGTAGTTGGATAGACATTGAGGAGTTAATAATGGTGGGTGACATTGGCAATGGCAGCAAAGGGAACTTAGTAAAAAGGCAAAGATGAAATGGTCACGTGAAAGGTGACCTGAAAAGCTCACCCATTTGGCTATAAGAAAGTTGATAATGAAACAATTCGGCATTCCTTTCGTACCCCATTAGCTGTATGTTACTTTGTATCCCTCTAACCACAAAGCAAATGGGTCCAATCGTACAATGCCCTTCTTATGCATTATTTTCCTTCATCTTCTATCACTGCTACTACGTTCGATTATTTATTTCACCCACGGACATCTTTACCCTTCTCATCTATATCTAAAGTGGATATGATAAATGACATGTTTAGAGGCTCAGTGCTCTTTATAATAATTGGATTTAATTACATTGGACTGAGAAAGCGACGTAGCTTCATGTCTAGATGAAGGTGGAGCAAGTCTCGCTAGTTATTATAGTTGGACGGTTGAATTCCTAGACGTGCTATGAGTAAATTTATTTTATTTATCATATATAGATTAAATTATAAATTATAAATTGTTTTACTTTGAAATAAATAATTCTAAATTTTTTTATGGTATTTATTTAAGGTTTTTAAAATCATAAATAGAGATCTCTAGTTTTTTTTAGAAATTATTTTGAGTAACTTACAAGTTGTAACTATATTTTTATTTATAAAAATCAAGTAAATGAATAAAATTATAACTAAATACAATTTTCTTATAAATAAATTTAATTAAAATATACTAAAAGTATAAAATGTTTTTACACTGTTATTCAATTATGAATTATTTATTATTAAAAGACATTAATTTTTGTAATAATGTAAAAAGTTGTATATTCATAATGCATAAAAGTTGAACTATATTTTTATTTAGCAAGTAAGATGATTTTTAAGAGGATGTTATAGGAAGATTGAAAATTATTTATTCATAATAATTTCTACAATATTTGATGAAATCCAGTATATTTTTAAATTATTTGTTATAATATTACTAAAAATAACAATAAGAATTTATAGGAAAGTGTAATGTTGAATAAATATAAGTATGTTTTTTTGTCCCTTAATGTGAATAAATTAATACCATATTATAATGTATGGTCGGGCTATTAAGTCAAAATATTCCTAACGTAACCTCTCCACCGTTGAACAACTTCAACAACTGACGTCTCAAAGGCTATTCCATTTCCCAATATTCTATTTCACTTTTTTCGCTGTATATACCTTCTTTTCTTTCTCTTCATACGCATGTATATGGTCAAAGGTCAACATTACTAGTGGGCATAGAGGCACTGCTGCCAGCCGAACACCTTCCGCGTGGAAATTTAAAACAAAAACACACCAATTTTAATCCATTTTTCAAGGTGGTTGGCAGTTACCATAATCTTTAATTGCAAAAATTGTATATTTATAGTTTAAAGACACCAAGTACATAAAATCAAACTACTTAATGATATAAAACATTGTGTATATTTATTTTTAAATATTAATAAAATATATGAAAAAATAGTTAATATTTGCAAGACTTACAATTATACCCCACATTAAAAAAAATACACTCTCATAAAATAGTAGCCATGCCATAATTTTTTTTTAAAAAGGTAAGTGTCCCGTATCAATAATAATATTTTTTTTTCTCGTTTTAATCTTAAACTAACACATGCAAGCAATGTAGGTGTTTCGTAATTCTATATTTTCTTAAAAATTAAATTTTAAAAAAAATTAGTTTAAGTACATAACAAGTATATAATTTGAACGCAATTCACTAACATGTAAAGCGAATGTCACATTTAAATGAGCTCGTTTGTTTAATTTTTTTTATGACAAATTGATTTTAAAAGATTGTTGATATGTATCTTTAAGTTTTTGAAAGAAATGAAAAAAATTAAAGAAAACATATTTATAATCAATTTAATTTTTTTTACAAAACATGAAATTGTAATGATCTTTTAGAATGAAATTATAATGATCGTTTAATTATAATGGCAAAGTTGAGACAAAAGATCATACAAGCTCTAAATTCTAATGATCAAGATAAAGACTAGCTTCGGATGGATGATGATAATAATTTTCTTGGATAACTACTGGGAAAGTATTTATGAGAGAGACATAATGTGTTGAAATAGAAGTTTCTTGTAATAAAAAAAGAAATAGAAGTTTCTTTTCGTATTTAGTTCATGGCAGAATGTATAAAAATAAAAAATAGTATATGACCCGGCCAAGAAGTATGAAACTTCGTAGATCTTTTGTCCCCATCGAAGGGCCTAATATTTTCTTAGCCGAAAGATATTTTTCCTTTAAATTAAAATTAAAATAAGAACATCAAAATGTCAAAGTGTACGCAATTTATCCAAAAGATAAGGGGTTGGTGGGGAATTCGGCCACCTCCTCATCACATTATAAAATTATCACCCCACTTTAACCCCGAAATCCATGTCTTCACAGTTTCCAACTAAGAAAAACATATTCAATTACAAAACATGTATGGGTTACGAATTATTCAATTACTTTATATTAAAAAAAAATTGAAATGTAATATACATGTATCTTTTAAAAACTACGTTAACTTTATAACTAAGCTCGGTATTTTAATAGCAAAGGCGAAATTTTCTACTTTCCTAAAAGTCAATTATACAACTTTGAATTTCATAATAAAAAAAAAACTACAGCTTTTGAATTAATTTTCCAGATAATTCCTTTTTTGGAACAAAACATCACTGCTAAAACAAAGGAACTATATACAGAAGGGGGTGGGGGTTAATAATATTATCTAATGGTACTCAACGAAAATTATTTAATTACTATCTATAAAGGTATATATAAAAATACGCATATCCTATACAAAATATATTGCAATTATAACGCCATTACTTTAAGAACTAGCACCGCACAGTTACATTGAATATTAGGATATTCCCTTCTTTTAAAAAATTAAGATACAAATTATTTCTTAATTCTAAAAGAGCATTTTCTTTTTCTCTACTGAACCCGCGTTCCTCTCTTTCTCTCTCTAACTCTCTCTCTCTCTCCCTTTCCTCTCTTCTTCCTTTCGCCGGCGAAACACCGGCGGCACCATCACGAGGAGAAGCCCAAAGACTCTCTCTCTCTCCTTTGCTTCAACCAAAACCAGAGCCTCTCTTTGATGCTGTGAAGCTAGAGAAAGCCCAGTATGGGAAATTGCAACGCGTGTACAAGAGCTGATGTCGTGGAAGATTATAATAACAACAACTCCAACGACACGAACCGCGGTCGGAAGAAAGAACCGAACCCAAAAAAACCGAACCCATACGCGACTGAACCGGTCCGGTCGAGCGGGTCGGCGGCGCCGATCCGCGTCCTGAAGGACGTGATTCCAATGAGCCACCGAACACGAATAAGTGACAAGTACATATTGGGCCGAGAATTGGGCCGTGGCGAGTTCGGCATCACTTACCTGTGTACGGACCGTGAGACGAAGGAGGCTTTAGCGTGCAAATCGATCTCGAAGAGAAAACTTCGGACTCCGGTGGACATCGACGACGTGAGGCGCGAAGTGGCCATCATGTCCACGCTTCCCGACCACCCTAACATCGTGAAGTTGAAGGCAACCTACGAAGACAACGAGAACGTGCACCTCGTCATGGAGCTCTGCGAAGGCGGCGAGCTTTTCGACCGGATTGTGGCCAGAGGTCACTACAGCGAGCGCGCCGCCGCCAACGTGGCTCGCACCATCGCCGAGGTTGTCAGAATGTGCCACGTCAATGGCGTCATGCATAGGGACCTGAAGCCGGAGAATTTCCTCTTCGCTAATAAGAAAGAGAATTCCCCTCTTAAGGCCATTGATTTCGGCCTCTCCGTGTTTTTCAAGCCTGGTATGTTATAATTATAATAATAATAATATTCTTATTTATTTATTTATTTTAGTTTTGTTATTTGTTTTTAAATTACATTTTTCAAAAATTAGGAGAGAAGTTTAGGGAGATTGTTGGGAGTCCTTACTATATGGCGCCGGAGGTTTTGAAGAGGAATTATGGACCGGAGGTGGACGTGTGGAGTGCTGGGGTCATTCTTTATATTTTGTTATGTGGGGTTCCTCCGTTTTGGGCAGGTGAGGATGCTACTCTATGTGTGTGTGTTCCTTTTCCTCTTGTGAAATGAAAGTGTGATTTGAAGTGAGTGAGGTCGGTTTTTGTGTTTGTGGCAGAGACCGAACAAGGTGTCGCTTTGGCCATTCTGAGGGGTGTTATTGACTTCAAGAGGGAACCTTGGCCTCAAATATCGGATAGTGCTAAGAATCTCGTGCGCCGTATGTTGGAGCCTGATCCTAAAAAGCGCTTCACAGCTGAACAGGTGCTTGGTAAGTCATTCATAACACCGACAGCTAGTTACATTGTACTATTACTGTCCACTGTCTCCTCACTAGGTGGCAACCTGGGGCGGATGTTGTAATGTTAATTATTTTAGTTTTTGCATTTTTCTTTTCTCTCTTTTTTCACTTATCATCCTGGGGGATAATTTGTGGGTTTATAATAAGCAGAACTGTGAAGGCTGAGGTATTCACCATCATCACGCTAATTGCGGTTTATGACAAGTGTGTGTTCTAGTTTTCGGTATGAGTTGTAGGCTTTCAATCAATCATCTTACAAATAATCACTATGACTTTTGGTCATTGATATCAGTATCCATGAGGGATGCCTCATAAACATTAGTTGTGGCAAATTCTTACATCAGTTACACATATTAGGACTTGAAATGTGTGTCGAGAAATTTGTCAGCAGAAAACCAGTAAAATGAAGGTGGGATATAAGAAAAAGGAAACCTTGAAATCTTTGTTTTATCCAATCTGCATGTTATACATGGCTCTGGGTTCAAGAGCAGTTGGGTGGCTATAATGCTTGGGGAAATTTGTTCGTTGTGGGATTAGTGGGGAAAGTGTAGGATGGAGTGTTAGGTACTGCAATTAGGGGCTGCTTGTTAGGTGAAAAGTGGGAAGGTGAGAAATTTTCAAACAAAATTACTTCACACTTTCTAGGTATGACAATAATATGAAAAGGTGGAAACTAAAATGTCCAATTTTCAAGGTCATATCACTAACTTTAGTTGAAAATCTTGTTGACTCCATCATATATTTTCTGCATACCCCCTTTCCACTTACTCAACCAAGCACACTGTTCATTTGCTGTTTATATTTGAGAAGCTCCTGCTTGTTGCTTCTCCTAGGCTAACTAGATAGCTATAATTTTACATGAGATGGATTTCAACTACCCTTCATAAACTAAGCTGTATTCATTCTGTATCTGAATCTGGGTTTAAAGTTTAACAGTGTTCATGCAGTTTGTCATAGTGAGGCAGATATGGGGAAGGGAGGGAAGAATTTTTCACTCCTTTGAAGTTGAATCGTGGTGTTTATTATTATTATTATTGGTATCAAAACAGTGCCATTTGTGGTCTATTTTATGCTTAGAAGGTTTTGTTTTGATAACTAAGTAGGGTGTCTTATGGGCTTCAGAATCAGAATGTTTAAGCTGTTTGGAATAGCTGTGCATATAATGTAACTATTTGTTGTTAAAGGAATATTCTCATTCTCACCAAGATCACCAGTTTCCCCCACCTCAATAAGGAATAAATATTTGATGAAGAATAAACTTTATATCAAGTCTATCTGATGAAGAATGTCATGAATATTTATTGTTTTTAATCATGTTTACAGGGCATCCCTGGCTGCAAAATGCAAAGAAAGCTCCAAATGCTCCATTGGGAGATATTGTAAGGTCAAGGCTTAAGCAATTTTCTGTGATGAATAGATTCAAAAAGAAAGCTCTGCGGGTTAGCATTTATTGTGGTTTATGCTTGATTGTTGACTAAAATCTTTGTATGATTGAAATAATAAGGAAGTTGAAAAGTTGGTGATTTTGGTTTCTTTGAATGAATGCCACAGGTAATTGCAGAGCATTTATCTGTTGAAGAGGTGGAAATTATAAAAGATATGTTTACATTGATGGATACCGACAAAGATGGCAGGGTAACATATGAGGAACTCAGGGCTGGGCTGAGGAAGGTTGGTTCACAATTGGCTGAGCCAGAGATAAAGATGCTGATGGAAGTGGTAAATTTCTATAATTGTGTACCATTTATAATGAAATTACTTCAAATAATATCAGTTCTTTGATCATTACCGGGATTTTGACTTCTAGTCAATCTGATGGAGCTCTTCAGAAGCATTTCTCTCATATACTCTCCATTACATATGTGTGTGGCATGTGCATGACAAATGTGACTTGTCTGGCCATTTTGGATGTTGTGTTGAGTAAACATCATATAATATTAGATGCCACATTTAACACAATTGTCTGGTGTTATGGATATCTACTTATGGGGACCTTTGTTTTATGGTAATATTTGGTAATGACTAATTAAGTAATTAGTATTAAAGATTTATGCTAGATGTTCTATTAATTATGGATATCACCTTCTTTTGTTTCTTTTTTTGAGATTGTTTTGGCCCAGTTTACTAACAACCCCTCCAATTTCTGTATTAACTGGTGGAACACTTTTTCTTTCATTTGAACTGAGATTATATCTCTAAAAGGAAAATATATTAAATTACGATTCAAAGCCTAATCTTGGACTTGCCAAGTGTATCTGTAATGCAAATTTGTGATTCAAGAATAACCTCCTTTTTACTGAACTACATAGGCTGATGTTGATGGGAATGGAGTACTTGACTATGGAGAGTTTGTAGCTGTTACGATTCACTTGCAAAAAATGGAGAATGATGAGCATTTCCACAAAGCATTCAAGTTTTTTGACAAAGATGGGAGTGGGTATATTGAGTTAGGCGAGCTACAAGAAGCATTAGTAGATGAGTCCGGAGAAACTGATGCTGATGTATTGAATGACATCATGCGGGAAGTTGACACTGACAAGGTTTGACTTTCATGCTCATTACTTTTTTCTTGTTTTCCTATGTGCAGATTCTTACTTTGTTAGTTGCACTATCATGGAATGACTAATGTTTAGCTAATATATTTACAAAGTGTGAAATTTCATTGGAAATTACAATTATTTTCTGCCTCTCATGTTACATTTGTTGAAGTCTCACATTGACTGCAGATATGGCTAATGTCGAGCATATAAAGGCTAAAACAATCCTTACTTATGAATTAGCTTTGGACCAAGCCCAAATTTAGGAACATCACCTCACCATCTTGTATACACATTTTGCTTGCTTCTCTAACATTTTGCTTGCTTCTCTACATTTCTTTCCTACATTTTTCAATTTTCTGCTTTCATGTTACAGGATGGTCGCATCAGTTATGAGGAGTTTGTGGCCATGATGAAAACTGGAACTGACTGGAGAAAAGCATCTAGGCAATATTCAAGGGAGAGATTTAAGAGTTTGAGCCTAAATTTGATGAAGGATGGCTCACTTCAGCTTCACGATGGAATTAGTGGTGAAGCTGTAGTGGTTTGAGGGCAAAGTAATGTCTTTCTGTAACTTGATGCTCACTTAGTTATCATTTTCCTTCCACCACTTATTATGCTTGAAATATGGCTTGTGGAATCTCCCCAAGAAAACAAGTTTTGGGCAGGTTTGGGTTCTAGTGTTTGAAGCATTCTAATGAGCTTGAGTTGGAGTTGGTTACCTTAAGTTTCTCAGTTGGATTGGCTGTTAGATCCCTGAAGCATGCATAGGCGGATTGCGATTGCATTTAGATTGTTCATAGCTTGTCAGAAGAAAATGTGGGCCACATGCTACAGCCCACGTGCCCCAAAAATGTTACATATTCTTTGTATATCTTTGTCCTGTTATATTTGTGTTTTGATAATTTCTTTGGTAAATGTGATTTTTCTAACTTATGTGCAGAAAACCAGTTAGGACTTGTCTCATTGGCGACATGAACTTCTGAAAAAGTTTATAGAAAGTATAGGTATCTGCTAGTTGAAGTTGAAGCAATTTAATTTTTCTGAAAATGTAGCTGTCTTAAGCCCTCATTTATTTTCATTTTGCCCCTTGTTTAGACATTATCTCTTGTCCATTTATGGTTAATTCGCATGAGGTAAAAACATAATCTGAAACAGCCCTTAATGGTAAATGCACGAGGCAGAAAATTCTCTTATTTAACCATCATGTCAAATATTTTCCGAACACTTCAAACAAGTTTTATTTGAAATTTAGCATATGATGGACACAAACCCATTATTAGTGTTACAATTACAACCATCACATCTATGGTTTTAGTTCATTCAACCATTTCACTTTCACATTTGACTTCAAATGATATGTTTGTGAAGTTATGAGATTGCTGATAGTCCTCATGTTTATCCTGAATAATAATTGTAATGTTTACATCTCAATAGTTCTGGAAATAGAATTTACCCAAAATAAAATAAGATTTATAAACGGCACAAACACAACTCTTCTTCCAGCTAAGGTCATGACAATTGCTTTTCGATGACATAAAACAATATTAGTAGCATGCAAGTATCGAATGTGACGGGCTGTGAGTTTATCTTTTCAAAAGGGCAAATTATAGATTCATTTCTCTAATCAGCGTTTGAACTTTGAAGACTATGGTTTCAAGTATATGTTTGGTATAGTTTTTTCTTTAAAATAATAATTTATTTTAATAGATGTTTTTACAGAATATTTTAGAAAACAAGTAATTGTTATATTTTGAAAATTAAAGTTATTGTAAACATGAGCTAAAAGCAGGATGAAGTTTGATGATGGCAAAGAGAACAAAAACGATGGTTGTTTCCGGATACAAGAAGCTTTAGGAGTACGTTTGATTACTCTTTTAAAAGAAATTTTCTGTTTTTAAAAATAAAATATGGTACAAATTTATTCTGTATTTTAATTTTAAAAACAAAAAATTCTTTTTAAAAAAGAAATCAAACATGCTCTCTAGTTTCTAGTTCTCTAAGTTTTTTTTCCTACAACAAAAGATAACTAATGCAAGGAAAGTAATTCACCTTGTGTCTGAAGTATGTCATGGGGACATCAAATTTATATATATTTACATTAAGGTTTGTTTGTTCATATTTTATTTTTAAAATATTTTTAAATTAAACGGTTTATTTAAAAACATATAATAATTATGTAAATTTTAACAAATTTAAAATTATCAAAATTATTAAAAACCTTGGAACAAAGGAATTTGGAGTTTACATTTTTTTAATGTCTTTCTTCTCATATCTTACGCAAAAAATAAATGAGTTTGGCTAAATGCAAGATAATAATAGGATATTGTTTATGATAGGATTGGAAAAGATTCTTAGTTAAAGTTACTGGAGGGTTTGATGGGAGAGAGAAAAACTTTTTTTTTCCAACCTCAATTTCTTAATTTGATATAATCTGTTATACATAACAGAGTAATTTTTTTTAAATATTGTAATTTTTTTTTATTGAAAGTGATTCAGAAGAAGTAATCTTTTTATTATTTTGAGTATTCAAAATTGTTATCACCTTCTATTTTTTTTTTAATTAAAAAGATTAAGAATTTGTTTAAATGTATAAAATTTATTAGATTTATTATATCTATAGAAAAACAAATTAGAGTATGGACTGACTTATTAACGCGGTTCAAAATTTTGATTATCTTTTATTTGCTTTTAATAAAAATTCTATTTCTTCACTGTTATTTTGAAGAAATTTTTAAAAATAAATGCTTTGAATATTTGGTTACCTAGTTGTTTATTTATAGACCTTTTTGTTTTTTCACTTTTAAGTCTCGTTTAATAAATAATAATAATAATAATAATAATAATAATAATAATAATAAAATATTGTTTATGATAGGATTCTGAAAATTCTCCCAATTTGTGGAGGGTTTGACGGACCAGAGAAAAAAATAATTTTTTTTTCAGAATGGCAAGGATTTAACACTCAAAGAAGAAAATTACAGACAATTACAGGTACTAGAAACTTTCTACAATCCTAAATGGATGAAATTATTTAAAAGAAATGGAATTTTCTCAGCTAAATATCACCTTTTTAAACTTTAATCTCTTAATTTGATATAATTTTACATAATAGAGTAGTTTTTTTAAGTATTACATGGCAATTAAAATATGAAAAAAGCACATGGCTGCATAGGATCCATGTCAAATTGTTCCCATAATATTCATCACAAAAAAATTATCATGCAAAATCTAATCCCGCATTAAAAGCTGGGATTCCAAAGTTATTTCTTTATTGTTGTTGTTGTTGAGAATGAGTGTTCGTGATTATTCATTTTGTTAACGTACCCAAATCGAAGTTAATTTTAACAACTTTTTAATGTACATTTTCTAATTTAAACAATCAGGCATTAATTTTGGAGATTATATTTGGTATATGTTAAAAATGACTTTAAATTATATTTAAGTAATTCCAACTTGGCCCTTTTCTTAGTATTTTAAAAATTTATACTTTTTAAAACAATTCCATATGAGTAATAAATTTAATAATTTTAAATAACATTTAAAAAAATGTAGTGTTTGACTAAATTCAATGAGTTTGTTATTGTAGTAATAAATAGCATTTTGTAAAATGTGAAATATATTTGCATTAATTTTATTTATTTCAAAATGTATAAAAAAATATACTTTTTATACTTACTTAACTCTAGAATTTAATTATTCACGATATTAAAATTTATATTCAATTATAATCGAATAAAATGAATAATATAAAGCATAACAACCATGGTTGAGTTACTTGGAAAACACCTTTCTCCCCTCTACGAAAGGCCCACGGAATGAGAAAAGGAAAACGCAGGTAGATCCCACCCACCCCAGTAGGTTCCTGCAAAGCACGTCGAAATAAAAAAAGAAAAAAAGAAAAAAAAGAAAAAGCCGAAAAAACAGAAACTAATATAGCTGCGTAGGTGATAATAATGGGAAGGGACCCGCATATGATTACGATTTTCATTTTATTAAGGTCCTCCAATCTTCACTCAGCCCCCACCCAATCGTAACCGTCGTTTGCAACGGTCCTGCACTGTTCTTCTACCCTTGCCGCCACCACCAAACGACGCCGTCGGAGAGCAATGGGGATGGATTACTACAACATACTCAAAGTGAATCGAAACGCCAGCGACGATGATTTGAAAAAAGCCTACAAGAGACTCGCTCGTATTTGGCACCCCGACAAAAACCCCGTTAACAAGACCGAAGCTGAAGCCAAATTCAAACGAATATCCGAAGCCTACGACGTTTTGAGCGATCCGCAGAAGCGTCAGATCTACGATCTCTACGGCGAGGAGGCACTTAAATCGGGTCAGTTCCCGCCACCTTCCCAATCCTCCTCTTCTTCGTCCTCTTCACGCGCTTTCCAGAACCACCATCACCGCCAGAACGCTACCACGTCGTTTCGCTTCAACCCCCGCGACGCCGACGACATTTACGCCGAATTTTTTGGCGCGGATGCTGCCGACGTCGGCGCTGGCGCCTCTTCCCGCCGTGACGGCTTCTTCCGTACCTCGAATGGCGCCGCGTTTGGCGCCACGGGAAGGAAGGCTGCCGCGGTGGAGAACGCGCTTCCCTGTAGCTTGGAAGAGCTTTACAAAGGCGTCAAGAAGAAAATGAAGATCTCCAGGAACGTCTACGATGCTTTCGGGTAAACCGGTTTGAAATCCTATCCTAATTGTGACTTGCGTGTTTGGAATGTTCTGTGCTTCTTTGAGATTGAGATATTATGTGTCAAAAGGTTGATTAGTCAGCGTGAGGGTTCGGTTGATTGAATCTAATTTTCAACTAAGAGTGAAAATGAAGTACATTGAATTGGTGTTACTTTTGATTTAGATGTGCGTGTGCGTTTACCGCGAAGGTTTACCTTAGCTGTAAGTTCTAGCACAAATTGCAAATTCTGTTTATGACATTGATGTTTCGCCCTTCAAGTGAAAACCCTCTCCTTGTTCCCCTTCCCCTTTGACTTGGTATCGCTATACTACACTTAACTGGAGTGGATGCTGAACCAAATTATGGTTGGTTGTTCTTGAAGTCCAAATCTTTGACCGGCTAGGTTAGGGACTGTTTAGTTTCAGAAAACGTTTTATATTTTTACTTTTTTAACTAAAAAACTGCTACTTTATTTTCATTCTATTTCCCGTTTTCAAAGACTTGTATAGGGAAAGGTGAAAACAGAAAAAAAGAAGTTGTTTTTAGTGTTTCTTATACAGATATTTGTAAATAAGAAGCAAAATGCAAACAAGGTAATAATTTTATAATTAAAAGGGAAACAAAAAATGAAAACAAAAAAACATTTCCTGAAACCAAACAGTTTGATATCATGGTTTTGTTTTGCTAGTGGCATTATTCACTTTTTCTTTCATGTCTATCACCTGTCTATGCTTCTGGTCATTTATTCTATATTGGAGTGGAATGTTGTGGCAGAATATTTGGTTTGTCCTGAAACTAGGCTGAAGTGGACTTTGAGGCTTTAGGTGATGATGTCAGATTTGATATTGGGAATCATGTGTGAAATATGGAATTTTGGTTAGTTGTTGAACTTGAAATTTAAAGAGTGAGTCTAAGCCATGAAATCATTCAGAGTAACTGAGATATGTATGTAAAATAATATGAATGTCACAATGAATCTATATGCTGTCAATCTTAGAAGAGCTACTTTTTCTAGTGAGCAGAAAATTTTCTAGTTTACAAATGAAAGGATGTCATTCATAAGAGTTAAGTGTAACATATGCCAGAATGTTGTTTCCACTCAAATCTTGGAAGCCTTTTAATGTTCATTTGGTATGGTTTTGACCTTATTATGGACATGATAAAATTTTGTGAAAGGGAATGTAGTAGGGTATGCATTTGATGTTTCCCATTGAAAGGCAGGTAATGAGGGCCATGTACACTTCGCACTTGCTTGGACTGGACCTAGTTAATATAGTGTGTTCATATATTAAGACTACCAGCTATCAGGATTCCCTTAGCATTTGTGTACTGTATTGATTGAGACAGATACATGTTTAACCTGTTGCCTAAGTGATCACTTATATGATAAACTTTAGGCGTCTCACTTAGGTTTGAAGAATTATTTCATCACCTTCCTTATGAATGAAACATAATTCATAATGACACGGGTGAAGGTATGGAATGATAAACCATTAGATTCCAATTCCAATGGAATCTAGTGGTTATATATCCAGTTCATTTGATTTGAAGATTATGACAAAAAATTTTAAATGTGCTAGCAATTATAATTTTTGGTCTACGCATGAGAATCTCATTGATAGTTTACCTGGGCTACTAGGAACTTGTGCCCTTTTTTCTTTGGGTGAAGTGGCCTTTGATCAATGTTTGCTGAGCAGCGGATTTCTTTTTTATGCTTGAATGGATCAATGTAGTCTCTTATTTTTCATTGCTAGACTTGATAATGCTATATAAATTAAATTCATTTCACCAAGCTTTCTTATATTTACCCTAGAGAATAAATTTTGTTATCTTTATAGCTCACAAGCACAGTTGAAATTATATAAGTTCATTTTCAAAATGTTTAAACTTCAGTAGCATACTTTGTTTTATGAAGCAAATGTTTGCCATACTTGTTTCCTTCGGAATTTTTTCTCTAAGATACTCAATGACTTCTAGAACTTCCTTTGTCAATTAAATTTAGTAAAATGAATGTTATAACATGAAGGTAAGACATTTGAGGTTGATGTCTTGATAATTACAAATTATGCTTTCTATTTTCAAAATTTTTGTGAAGGAAACTCAGAAAAAAAAATTTGCTTGTGTCTTGATAATATGTCATAGAATTTAATTTTTTAGTGAGCTCAATGGTATCGTGCAAGTAGCTGACCTTATCTAGTAGGATAAGATTTTGTTTTTGTTGTATTTTACTTTTTCATTTCCAACTTTTTTCCTGAAAACAAGAAGCAAAATGAAGACAATGTCAAAATTTTGTAATTTTTATTGAAACCATGTGAATTGAAAGTGAAAACAAGAATCAAACAACACCCACTGTGTTTGTATTTAGTTGGCGACTTTTTCTTATTCCATATATTGCTTCATTTTTCATTAATGAATATTTGTAAACGAAGAGGTTTCTGTATGGTCATTAAAGTATAGGAGCAAGAATATAAAATAGACGTAATATTGCCTTAAGCATTAGGCTGTTGGCTTTTCCAATGCAACTCAAGGTAGCACTGATACAGTTTTGTATCATGTTCAATCCTGCCTAAATCTTGGGAAATTTTAAAGCATAGGATATGTATGGGTCAATATACTTTTGAGTTAAATAAAATATAAATTTTCCAAGTTTGAAAAGAAAATTGAAATACAAGACAAATCAACTTGATCAAGTATTACATACTCTTGAAAGATTAACTACCCCAAATGCTAATTTTATCTGGCACCTGTTGGGAAATAATAATATTTTTAAAGTAAGTTTCAAACTTGGATCAATTTGAAACTATAGGGTGCATTGATGCAATTGGAACTTGGGGACCAAATCAAACTTTCGGGAAACTAGAAGGGAACGAAGTTTAATTAAGCTTAGCAATTTTCTTTTCTAATGTATGCATGTAGTGATTTGATTGATTAACCTTTTTTTTCTACATTTTCAGTAGGGGCCTCTATTACCCTGATTTATTGGTATCTGTCATTGCATTGGTATTCTAAAATCCAAAGTGAAAGTTTTATCTTGAAAACTGCAATCTGATAGTTAATCTTATTACTCTGCTATTTTGAAGAAACAAGGAAAGGTCTGGCTTGTAATACTGACAGCATAAATGTCTTTTTCGGAAAATTCTGCTGTGGTTCTTTTACTTCTGGGAAATGGATATTTGTGTTTGTTGACAACGTTTGACATGTGCATTTCCATTTCAGCAAAGGTCGGAATGTGGAGGAGATTTTGACTATTGAGATAAAACCGGGCTGGAAGAAAGGAACCAAGATTACCTTTCCAGAGAAGGGTAACCAGGAGCCCGGTGTCATCCCAGCTGATCTTATTTTTGTGATAGATGAGAAACCACATGCTCTGTATAGAAGGGATGGTAATGATCTGGTGATCAACCAGGAGATAACCCTTCTTGAGGCCCTTACAGGTAAAACATTGGATCTCACCACCTTGGATGGAAGGAGTCTCATGATCCCATTGACAGATATTGTCAAACCTGGTGCCGAGGTTGTTGTCGCTAATGAAGGAATGCCCATATCAAAAGAGCCTGGAAGGAAGGGGAATTTGAGAATTAGGCTTGATGTTAAGTATCCCTCAAGGCTAACACCTGAACAGAAGTCTGATCTGAGGAGAGTTTTAGGTGGCATCTCATAAATGAGTTTGGTATTTGGTGTCACTGGTGGATGCACATTGTAAATATATCATGTGCAGAGTGTTGATGCATGTGAATAACAGGAATACTCTACGGGTGAATTTGAGTATAAAGGGATAACCTACGGTGAACCCTTAACTTTTGGACTTTTTTGCAGGATAGGAAACATAATCGACTTTTTGGAAATGAGTGGAAGCGTCAATCTTAGTGAAACAAATAGGTAGGTAAATTCAACTTAGTTTCCATCGTTTTGCTTCAACTTATTTTGCCTTTTGATCAAACTCGTGAAGATTATTAGTCTTAATAGGATCACAATGAATCATGTTCATACCATGAGAATTGTATATATTGATTGTTTATTGATTGGAGGTTACTTTATTGATATGCTGTTCTTTTAAAATTTAAAGTCCAACATGGAATCGTGGTCTATGATTTTATTACAGGTTCGTGATTTCTGCCATAAAAAAACTTGATGCATATCGAGCAAAGTTTTCCTTTGAATTTTCTTTGTTGATCAGCTGTTGTGCTTGTGTTTAGAAATGTTATATTTGTCTCTATCAACTCTCAAGTTCCACCGTATTACATCTCATGAATATGTAGAAACGCTTTATATATGATTGTTTTATCCACTTCAAACGCTTAATCTTAGGAAAGTTTACTTAAATTTCTTTTCCAATTTAAATAATCCGTACTAGCGGTGGAGATTGTACTTTGTGGAATGATATGGAGGAAGAGTTAAGCTTTTTTGGTTATTTTATGGGATCATTGTGAGTCTCTGGTCTTATAATAATTTAGTTTAAATTTTTAATTTCTACAATCAAATCCTTAGTTTAATTTTTCTTTACATAAGATCTTTTTATTTCAATCAAATAATTGGGTTTAATTATTGATTTGAGGTAGAAAATGTTTTAAGAGGTTCAGAAAGTAACAAAATAAGATGAAACTTAGAAAGAGATAGTAGTGTGTAGTGAAGATTTTAAAGAGGAAAATTTGACATTTTTTACTGGGTGAAACGAAATTTTTTTTTTGGATAGATTGAGTGAAAATGAGTTTTAAATGGTTAAATTGGTATACGGAGATTTTGAGGGGGGAAAATGTATTTAAGTTTAAAGAAAATTGATTGAAAGATTTAATTAGAATCATTAAAATAATCGGATTTAAATTTAACAATTAAAAATTTTAATAGATTGAGTAAATTATTAAGAGATAAAATTACACATCAATCATTGTAGACGTATTAAAAAATCAGCTAAGCCTAGAATTTATGAATCGTGTGTGAAGAAGAGAAAACATGGTATTGAAAAACGGTTTATTTTTGGAGATTTCTTTTCTTGGTAAAGGGAGAAAAATTTCAGCAGCATTGTATTTGACCTTACTCATCAATTTTAGTTGATTCGTTAATAGTGTTCTAGAGTCTTCAAGGGATTTAAGGCTTCTAAATTACGTTCTGAATAAGGATATAAATATGTAAATTGAAAAAATAGTCTGTTTTAAAAACCTTGTTACTTCAGTAGCATTTTTAATTACTTGTGAAATTCTTTAAAAATATAAAGGTGTTCTGTTAGGTTGTCATTTTTTGGTCGAAAGTTAGGGTTTTTGTGCTGGATATTATGTGTAGGGTCTGAATTTTAATAGAAAAGAACTAGTTTATGTAGTAAACATTTATCACCTTGGGATTTTAGTTTTTAGTAGTTTTTATCACGTTGGGTTAAAGCTTATTAGCCCCCCTAAGGCCCTGCCGAACCGCCTACTGTCGACCCAAAAAACCAATTCCTACATTGTAAGTAACTAAAAAGAAAAAGTAGAGCTTACGTTTAGTTGTTTTTGGAGAATACTTTTAACACCACTCTTGACATTTTTCTAATTATTATTTTTTCTAAATTTACCCTTGATTAACATTTCAAAAACCACTTTTTTCATTTTTTTTAAATCTTTTCTCTATTTTCCTTCCGGAGGTGAAACTGCAGCAACTCTTGTCCTTATCCTACGAAATTGAATAATCTTGCTCGGAATCGGAGGTCTATTTTTGGAAACTGATTACATCGGTTTTATGCCTCCACCGTCCACTCCTACCTAATGTTTAGAAACCTTTAGATATTGTCGGAAACATCTAAAGGTTTATTGCTCTTTTGGAAAATTTTCTGAAATTCACAATTGGAAACTATTTTATATGATTTCAAACATACAATACCGAAAATAGTTTTTATACAATTTCAAAAATCGAAAAATTACAAAAGATCCAATAATCAAAACATAGCAACAAATATAATCCAAAATGCAATAATTAGAATTTTACTATCTCTGCCTGCTTTGCTAACGCTCAATCACTGCTTCAAAGTACTGCTCAACCTCAAATCAAATTGTGTATGGTGAACATCTAGTCCACTACCTTTCAACAAATACACAAGTCTATACTTCAAAGACAAAAAATATATTCCGTATGATTCTTCATCTCTAGTGATATGGTTTTTAATCTTCATCAGGGCTCGACTTAATCCACCGGCCACTTACCCAACTTGAAACATTATTTGGACGAAACCGATTCAAATTTGTAGGAAATTACATTTCTTCAATTTTAAGTTTTTGAATTCTAACCCACCCAAATTTCACTTTTGCCCAACCCCATTTGAAAGAGTGACTACGCTAATAATCACTAATATGCTATATACAGGTTATTTTAGGAACAAAATTAATATGATTGTAAAAAGAACGAGAAGGGGTGCAAAAAACAATCCCTTTGATTTTGTTACGAATCACCACCATTTGATCTTTGACAAATGGGTGTCCGGGTTAATGGACCGGCCCATGTTCTTCCAACCCCATAATAACGAAACAAAATATAATTGAACATTGGAAAAACAAAAAAAACAGGTTGAACAAGTTTTCCCTTATTCCTGTTTTGATTTTATAAGGGTTAAATAACAATAAATACGTGTCTTACTTATTTTTACACATACTACTAAGTTTATCTATATTTTTGGTCATCTAGTAGTACTTTTATCTGATTATATCTAATTAACTGATAAAAATGGAACATTAATTTTGATTAAAGATAAATTGCTAAAACACGTGCCAAGCGTAGTTTAACCATTTTTTTTTTCTCGGGGAAAAACCACGTTTTGGGAGTATTCTTGGTGGTGTTTCAATTCTTGGTTATTAGCCCTATCCTTGGCAACATGCCACTGGCAATGAAGGCTTAGGTAGCCAGAATGTAGAATTTAATGGCATTGAACAATATAAAGAAATTGAACTTGATCTGGTTTGATTCCCTTTCTGGACCACTGACCACAAAATCCCAATAATGTTCTGAACCAATTCTTATTTCATCACTTGTTCGTTTTCCTTGTGTAATTTTTATTGTTAGATTTTTGTCATGGCCTCTAAGTCGTGATACTTGATTTGTATTATTCTTTTGTACCGTTATTGTCACATATATTTATGGATATAATCAACATAAAAGAGTACCGCACACCCAGAAAAAAAGATCAGATACGCATGTCTGCCACAGAAATAGACCCCAGAAAAGCATATATTTCTAGTCCGTTTATCATTGATTCCATTATATTCCTTTCATGTTGTTAAACTATTAGTTTATATTACCTTAACCACACTGTCCCACTGCTATTGGTGCTTTCCGAAAGTCGATTCTCTGTACTTGCCTGCCAGAATATTCTGTGGTAACAAAATGCAAATCCTCAAAGACAAACCATGTTTCCAAGAAGTATAATTGTTCTTTTCTTTTCTCTAAAAGAATCATGTTTTTTTTTTTTTTTTTTTAAATAACATGACTCTGTATTTTGATTGACCCCAAGTACACTTAAATGTATTTTTATTTTAATATTACAAGTTATAATTTTTACTAAAATTTTAGTGAAATTTTAACACACTTACAAACTGATTAAAATTAGTTAAATTATGTTTTGACACAAAAATTATGACTTATAATTCTATAATGAATTCAAGTTTAAGTAGATTTGATGAAATTCAAACATCAGTTATTTTGGAGTTCATCTAAAGAGTTATGTCAATCCAACGAGTAAGCTTTTTTTTTACTTTTCTCCAAAGTTTGGCGACACTGTGCTCTGCATCAACTTTTGCAATGTTCTCACAGCTTTCCTTTTTTTGTTATTTATTTGTAGCTGGAATAAAGGAAGAGATTATAGCACGAACGAATCATATCATAGTAGTTAATGTGTGATAGGGTCTTACTTTAAAGAAAAAGGCACCCCAACACCCACGATTCCACTGGCACAAAGCAAATCTTATTATTTTGTGTGGAGATTTTTGCCCTTGTGAAATGATTTTGCTGTAGAAAGATTCCTTTGTGCATGGAAAATATGTTATACGAGAAAGTTAACATCACGTTTGTCGTACAAAAAGTCCAAAGTTTCTTTTCATTTTGCAATTAAAAGGGGATAAAAGACAATGGTGCTGGGGAATTTCCCTTGATGGAAAGGCAAATCATTTTGAAAATGTGTTTTTATTTTCGTTATAAAAATAGTATAATGATATGATCTATAAATAGTAATTTTGAAGAATTCAAAAGGAATAATTTAAACAGTAAATAAGTTCGTTCAACTTTGCGAAAACTTCTAAATTATCAAAAGTTGAAATTCGCAGAGTATTTGAGGAATGGTAAGGTTCAATTTTCTATTTTAGATGTAAAAAACTTTTCTCTATCATAATATCTTTATCAACGTTATATTTCCTGCATATTTAGATTAACTTAACTCGAAAATAATACTTTTTTTTTTATCATTTTTTGTTAAAAAATATTAGTTATAGTCCATGTAATTTACAAGTATTTATTTTAAAATAATTATATATACAATATATAATAAAATTGTTTAAAATATTAATTTTAAAAAAATATTTTAACTTAATTTTATAACTTAATTTTAAAAAATGATAAAGATTTAATAATTTTAAAATATAATTTATTTTGAAATAATAAATAATATATTAAGTATCATAAAGTTTATATAGATAAAAATATTTATAAAAATTGAAAAGTTTATATAAGATAATAAGAGAAAATTAAATAATACCTTTTATCTTTAAAATTTAAAATAAAATTAACAAAATAATAGGCAAAAGGTTAAATTATGGAATAAAAAAGAGTGTAATAAAAGAGAATAACTCTACAAGGTTAATTATTTCTTATATTTAATGCCAAACTTAATATATTTAATATATACTTTTATATTATAACGGTAAATAATCATTCTTAAATAATTTTTTATTTATACTTTAAATCTGATATTTTAGAATATATTATTTTCTAAATAAACAAATTAAATTTTAAATTATTTATAATCTTAATTTATATTTGAATTGTGAGACACCACTATCAATAGAAATTCTGTATGTTAATTTTAATAGTTTATTTTTATAATTTTTTCTTTAGAAATTTTACTAATTTAGTTTAATTCAAACTATTAAAATATTTAATATTATCATTAATCTTTTATTTACAAAATTTATTTAAGTTTAAAATACCCTGAAATGATGCAAAATTTCTAAAAGGGTTGCCTAAGTAGAATGTAGTTATACACTCAACAATTTTATACATGTTTATTATAAAAGATTATAGGCAATGCAACTTTATGGTATAGGGAACTATAAGTTTTCTATGGTTATGCCACGTTAGTGTGTCATGTAGCACTACTCTCATGCTATACCACTCCTATCAAACCAATACAACATCAAC